CACACGGCGCAAAGGCCCGACACGTCAAGCGGCCAGCAACAAACAGCACCGCTAGAGTGATAAGAGATAACAAGGAGCACGTGTCTTGTCTTCAGCGACGAAGAGCTTTGGACAAAGAGACGACGGGGGGATTTACTGAAAGTGAATGCGAGGCAATGTACAGCTGCATTTAAATGCCACGGTGTCCGCATTTTCACGCGTATATTGCGTACATTTGAGTGCACGATTTGCTCGCTCATCGCATGCCTTCCGCCCTCTCATTACGACTTGCCGCATCACGGCTGCGCCGGGCATTCAAAATACAAATTCCCTCCATAGCGTCTCCACATAAATCCAATTGCGCATTCACTCGATGCACACGCATAGCCCAACGTGGTGCACAATGCAAGTGTTAAATGACCTCTTTAGTAAAAAAAGATGTGCACGTACAAAATATCTTCCAATTATCTACGCTGTTGTGTCCAAGTGCGGTCAGAGAGAAGCAATTAAGGTAAAATAAGCGCCTCACACTTGTGTCCTGGCCACCAAAGTCTTGCCCACAAATTGAACCCAGATGGCTTCAGATCATAGCACAAAGCGTTCGAATGGCACTCGCACAAACAAAAGACAGTGGTCCCTCGGTTCACGATGCCATCGATTAAACGATATTTCAATTAGCGATGGTTTTCATGGAAACAATTTCTATCGTTAACCGAGGGACCACTGTACACTCTCGTACAAACCACGGTGCACAGGATGCAGTGTCTCATGCAAATTGGATTTAAAAAAAAACTGTCTGGGCTCCCACCTGGTGAAATAAAGGAGACGGATCGATACGCCCGCTCGCTCTCTCTTACGCCGCCGCACTCACGGGGACACTTAAAAACGACGGCGTTCCCGTCGGGGCGGGAATGAGCGTGCGTGAGCTACGGCATGCGCCGGAGGTGAGAGTTGTACTCTCCGTGCATGCGTGCATACACGGCCGCCCAGAGCCATATCCAGTGACTAAGAGATCAAGTATCTTGGCTGGCGTTGTTAGGCTGCGCTCGGGCTTACAAAGCAGAGCCCCCCCCGCCCCCCCCCCGCGGTGCCGACGCCTTGCCGGTAAAACCGTGTGCGCGTCGACGCCCAAAGAGTTCATTTAGTCGCCGCAAAAACTTTGAAGCGCAACCGCCACTTTACAACAGGGAAACTCGGACGTGTTCGCCGATGACACGGCCCGTGGCCTTAAAAGGACAAATAAACTAAATAAATAGAAATATAGTGGGTGGCGTTTCGGGCAACGAGCCTTCTTGTTACAACAGGACATGGTTTGAAGATATGGGGTGGCGTCCCACGGACTTGCCGTTGAGTATGTAAAACTGGCAAATGGATATCATTGTTGTCCATCATAATAATTTACAGGGCTTTGTCCAGCCACTTTTAGATGAGGTTCTCCCCATGCTCTGGCAATCGCGGTGGTTGTGTGCCTCGCAAGGGACGTCATCACATCTCTCCCTCTATTCAAGACCGAAACAGAAGGATTTCTCCACATTTCTGGCTGTCACCTCATGAGGCTGGTTGTAATTACCGGCGAAATGTCATAGTACTCGAATTGTAAATGTTGCGGGTTTACTTTCCAACACGCCGGTATGCTGAACTAGTAGCTAATTGTTCACGTTTTGTTTACGTGACAAACCTTAAAAATTGGCTGTGTCGAGTGGTGGCGGGTTTAACGACACATTTATATTGACGCCATCTAACCCAAAAAAAACCTCTGTTATGGATAATTGGGGGGTTGGCGAAGTGGGGGGGGGGGGGGAGGTCAGGATCCTGATATTACTCACCACCGGTGTTAGCCGTGGTGCGAATCGAACCTAGGTCGCTGGCCGAACCACCGTACCACCCCTTTACGCGAGCGTTTTCGGAAATGCGATGTTCAGAAGACGTCAATGTTAACTGCATATTTGTGATTGCTGTTGCTTTCATTTCCAATAGTTCATCCAATTTTGTTCATCTCAATGCAGATGCAATTGAATTACACTTTAGTTTTCTGCTTTTACAGACTGCTAAATTTGTGGCCAATTCTGGGAAAGCGTTTGGCTCAGGAGCGAGATTTAGTAATACATTAAAAACCGGATAACAATAATAATGACAATTACACTGTCTTCAACGATTTAAAGCAATATAAAAAGGTGGCATGCTTTCTCTCTCGTACTGTACACTGCAAGGCCCAAAGGGAGTTCTATAGCCAAGTCATTATCGCAACGGCACAAGGATTGATAATTATTTGTCAAATAGCGTAGAGTGCAGTTAAGTTTTCTTTATTTTGTAAAAAAGCCAAAGAAAGCGACTTACTTGGAATTAGTCACAAGTCAGTCGTTAATCTCAATTTAACCAGGCCTGAATTTGGCCAGTGTACCCCCAGCTTAGTAAAACTCTCATGCCTGCCATCTTAAATCGCATCACGCGGCTTTGATTAAACAATAACGCACGCCTCAAAACATCACGCGATTAGGTTATCAATCTCAGCGTGGCCTCGCAAGGGTTTAACTTTACCGGCTCAGTCTGTGGGACGACGTGCAAGCGAGCAGTCACAGACGTGCGTGTGTGTACGTACGTGTGTGTGCACGTGTGTGTACATGCTTGTAAATGGATGGGGAGCGGTAGTGTAGCGGTTAGCTCGCTGCGCTACAAATCCGGCTACCCGAGTTCAATTCCCACTCACGGCCAACACCAGTGACGATTATCTGAGCCGCTCCTGGGCCTCAAATGAGTACCTGGTACGGTGTGTAAACAACACCACTGGGGAGACAAAGGCGACTGGGCGTGGTGCTGGCCACCCACCCCCTTCGTGTCGTTCTGGCCTTCATAGGTCCTCACCAACAGCACTTGCCCCAATAGTCTAAGGCTATACGGGGGATCTTTGTCTTTGCTTGCGAATGAGGATACCTATACGCGGCCCCTTTAGAAGGGCCGCTCAGCTTTTAATAGCAACAGTGCAATGCTAAGAATAATGATGCTAAGAATAATGATTCTCAGTGATGCGAAGCGGATATGCAAATTGAACTTGGCCAATGAGACGTCTTATGAATTCTAATTCCCAAAGCTAAGGCATGACTGTACAGTCGTTTACATTTATATATTTTCAATTCAATTAATGGTCTCTTATTGAATCCAGTGACAGCTAAATATGAACCATTGCCTCTCTTACAAGGCCGACCTTCGTAAGGTATATGGGAATAATTATTTTGTCTATTTTTTATTCACTTGGGGAGGAATATTTTCTCGGGGATTTTGGCTGTGACATCGAAACAGTTGTCCTCACAGGATCTTAAAATTTCAGACTAAACCAGACAGCAAGGCGTTTGGGAATGGCGCTCGATGAAAATTGCAATTAAAGCGTTGATTTTGCCCAAGATCTAAACGTAAACTGGGCGCAAGCCATCAAGCCGCCTCTACGCGCTCGAGCTGCGTGCCTGCGTGTTTTGTGCTAACGCGTCCCATCATACGGGGCTCTCCAAACATTTCGACATATTGCCAACACGCACTCCTCGCATAACGACTGCTCGACACGTCGGTAAGAGCCGCGCACAAAGGCCCGAGCGTGCACGAAGCGAAATAAAGCGACGGTCATTTAAAAAAAAAGAATAATAACAATAACACCGCAGAGACCTTCTGAGAGCAAACGAACGAACGAGCAGCCGGGGCCGGCCACGGAATTACAATTGCACCCGCCTCCCTTGAAGGCAGTCGCATTGATTTGAGCATTAGCACAATTACACACCGTTGAGTAGTAATGGTGGCGAAAATGACTCGGCAGCGTCCCGCGAGCCAAATGGGAAGCGCCGCGTGCACCTTCCCGTCCATTTGTCGTCGTTCCGCACCGGTTGGGCAAATTCAAATGGCGAGCGCGTCCGATTGGAATGGAGGGGCAATGCAAACAATTGCGTGCGCTCTGCCAAATCTAAATAGGGTGCCATTCGGATCTCAACGGTCGGCCCAATTGTCTCGGACACATACGTTAAGAAAGACCAGATGAAAGAGTATTACAAGCATTTGCACTTTGTTTTAAAACAGAAAACGTTTTCGTTGCTACAAAGTATTTATTATATATCTCTCACACTGGTAAAAAAAAAAAATACTCAATAGCAGGCCAAAATCTGAAATCACGATCTCACGGTTGAGAGCTCCCTCTGCTTTACCGAATGAGCTGTAATCTGCCCACATTTGCATTACTATAAAAAAAAATACTTTGCTTTGAAGTGGCATATGCCCAGTGTGTTGTTTCACCACCCACCAAAGGTGCATGTAGGGTGGCAGTAAAAACAACACGTTTCAACAATGCCCTCTTAACAACACCTAACCCTTAATGGGTTAAATGGAACTCTGAACTAACAGCACTGGATGCCCACAATGGCCTCAACCCCTGGCCACCAGCAACCCACATTCCCACCCAAAGCACTCAGGCTTGCCATGGCAGTAATGCACTGTCCATTAGGTACTGAAATCTCATGGCTTTGTTTGTTGGAAAGCGCATTCTCTTTCCTTATTTTCACTACAAAATCAACCGTCTCGGTCATTGGATTTCATAGACCGTGTGAGTAATTGCGTATTTCGAGAAAAGCACAACCCCGGAATGCCGTGTGTGTGTGTGCATGCGTGCTGGGCAGCTGGCCCACACCCACTGTACAGCAACGCCTTTCATTGGCTCGTGGGTCCCAAGAAATCTCCAGCATGCAGCGCGTGGTTGGGTCCCCAAATATATACCTTGGGAAGCCCTCCCTCCCACTCACTCACTCTGCAAATCCCACACCCCACAACCGCTGCCCCACACCCAGTGCCCAACCCATTGGGGCTACCCCTCCCTACCACATGCCATGAAACAGCTGCCTAGTACAGAACAAAGGAGGACAACCCTTCGTTCCCAACCCACACATCCCCCCCTACAAGACCGGACTCAGCACTGATCCCACTCGTAGCTTACCCACACCACCACACAATGCAGCAGCAACAGCAAAATGCCAGCGTGGCGCCCTTACCTGGTTGTCAGACAAGCTCTCCAGAGCTTGCATCACCGACTGCTCCGGCCTTGCCGACTGCGACTGCAGAGAACAAATACAATACATGTGTTAATTAAACACATAGAGTACCGAATCACACATATTTTCCAAGCCAATATTAGAAATTTCAATGATGGGAGACGGTACACCAACGGATAACCACCGTCGACTTCCCACAAAGTGGTACCCATTTTATACTGCATGAATGATCTGATTAGTCAACACATTTGTGGATCTCAAAGCTGTGCCCTGCTGAAAATGAGGCTTGACCCTCGATGAGGCTTTCGTGTCTAGACATTAAAGTATGCAAAATCAGTACTAGACCAACATGCACAGCCCCCCCGTACAAACAGGACTTATATGAGTATCTGAGTCTGCATTTTTCATTGTATGGCCTTAGATTTGCTTCAAAAGCACCGGGAATTGGCTTTGAAACTAACAGTCTTTTGTAACAAGATCCAGGCTTAAATGTTACACAAACAGCTTTCCCCTGACTCAGAGGGTACCATATAAGCCTATCACATGACAGCGTTTTCCACGGCTGTGATTGTATTTTACTGTTTAAATGTTAGCACATATTGTTCAATTGGCGATGACTATCACGTTGCGATAACGCATACTACGCCTTTCTAATACATGCCGCGTATAGCCGGTCACGACCGACTCCGTGACTGATGCAAATTCAATTCATGTTCGAGAAGGGTTAGAAGGCTGAAAAACACTTGGCACGGACATAGTTGCGCTCTAAAAAAACAACCCATCATAAACGTGTGCGCATGCATTTACGAAATATACACTTGCATGGTATGGAATACGTGTATTTATGAGATAATGTGAACAATACAATATAATTTCAATTCATACAGGATCTGAATATAAGTGCATGTGAAGACGCAGTAGAGAAAGAGTGGGCAAATGAGCTTTACAGAGGCAGTCAGAGGCTGAGCAAACAAAGGAACGTCCACAGACTGGACTTTAACAGGGGGCAGAGTCGACAGCATTGATGGCTGTGGGAAGGAAGTTCTAGGGAACGGGGGAAGCAGAAGAGAATGACCAATGTGTGTGTGTTCAACTGTTTAAACTGTTAAAAAAAAAATTACTTTACTAAGGCCAGCTGAGCTGTATAGCTCTTCTTCAGAAGCGAATTCGCCAAAAAGGATAGCTCAATGCAGTGGCTTATCACGTGGAAATTTATAACAGTCAAATACTCGAAAACGTATGTTCCTAAATGCTGAGAGAAAAACCAGAGGACCCGGAAAAAAAATCTAAACAACCGTGAGGAGAGAGATACATGCAAACCCCAAATATACAGCAGGCGTCAGGGTCGGGATCGAACCCACGACCTCCTGCATACCAGGCGAGGTAGATCACATCGCGCCACCGCGGGATCCTTCTTTGCAGAAAACACGAGTGTGTTCTTTGCGGGTGTGTTATGTGTTGCAATTCACAAACATACCACGAGTCCCGTCTCCACCGTTGGCACCAATGTTAGCTTGCTTCCGTTGGACACAGCATAGTCGCGCAACTTGCCCGTTCTCAGGTGCCTGCAGAGACAACAGAAGAGACGCACGTAAGTCGATGTGCGACACTTACCACGAAACAACACGGGCTTAAACGCACACGCACGCGCCAAAAAAATGGGCTCACAAATACACTGCAACACACTCACGTGGACACAAGCGCGTTGAACCCCATGACAATCTTCCACGACGTCAGTTCTCCAGCATTACGTTAACACTGATTGCGACAGCTAGAGGAGTTTTTCGTGGAGCGGCGGATTGATCGTGGGCCGGTGATGATGACAAACGCTGAGAAAATAACAGACGTTCATCTTTTTTGTCTGTGTGGCCATTATCGAGCAAGACAAATTATGAACGCAAAGAGAGAGAAAAAAATGTTGGGGAAGGCGGTGGTGGTACACGCGCTGTTTTCATTCGTGAAGTTTCATAAAACCATTAGCTTTTCATTTCTCAACTGGCGAGGCAGCGGCAGTGTACACTGGCTTTTGTGAGTTAAAATAAGCAATTCGCGGTGCTGTGCTCGCGGCACAATGGGGCATTGGATGTGCAGTAAATTTTGTGTCTTTACGACACAGGTGCTGATCCTTCAAAGGGGGGTTTCACAATAGTGGCTGATTGTACCGCAGTCTCCTCCTATCTCTGATGACGGGACAGACGGCAGGTCTCATGACAGATCCTCAACAAAGGAATGAATGACAAAGCTCACCCCAGCCCACCCTCCTCCCCGCGACAAACACAACGTATGCTACGCAATTACGACTGTGGCTCATAACGTCTTCGGATTAGGTACAAGGACAAAGATCCCCCATACAGCATTAACAGACTGTTTGGGGAAATGCTGCTGTTAGCGGGCAACCTATTTCAAGGCCGGCACGGCACACGAGGTGGTGGGTGGCCAGAACCACACAAAGACAAAGATCACCCAGCATATGCCCGAACAGACATTTGGGGCAAGTGCTGGGGGGGTGAGTGACTAGCCCCCACGCCCGGCCGCCTTTGTCTCCCCAGTGGCGATATTTACACACCGCACCAGGGTACTCATTTCAGCCTGATTCGACCCTGGGGGAGGCCCAGGACCGATTCAGATCATCGTCACTGGTGCTGCTGGTGGCAGTGTGCGGGAATCGAACTCTGGTCGCCGGGTTCGTAGCGCAGCGCGATAACCGGATACACTGGAGGCTTACTCTGTGCCACACAAACACACACTGAGCACAGGTTACACGTGACAGAGGCACACTGCGATCGCACGTTACCGGCTAACAAAGCACGCGAATTCGATATTAGAGAAAAGCAGTTTCCACCATGCGACACCAACGTGCAGTGGGTCGTCAGTCGTAGTTACATGGCAATCCGATCTCGCAACAAAAAAAATAGCACGCTATTTATAGACGGACTGTTGCACTGCCGACTAAGTCGATATAGCACGCACGCACGTCCCCCCACCACCACCCCCTATTAGGTCGATAAGCAGTGCCCGGTAATGCGATGGCGAACCTGAGCGAGCCGACTTGTTCTCTCTGCCCCTATTGTTCGCGAAAGCTGCAGCGAACAACCCAACATAGCATCAATAAACACAGGCTGCGCCAATAGCACGTTGTATGTAGCACGTCCTCCGTGGGATATACATATAGACCACAGTACAAGTCTACACAGCAAAGTATGCGTTGGTAATAGGATCGTATAGGCTGTATGATGTACACGTCTACACAGCAAAGTATGCGTTGGTAATAGGATCGTATAGGCTGTATGAGGTATGCTATAGTATCGCATGAAATATAGACTATATCAGGATATTTCTTTATACTGGATGAATCCGATGAGCTATAAAGCTATTTGTTCACAGATGTCCAGTAAGTGTAGAGTTTTCTTATGAAATAATAGCCTGTGTAGGGTACTGTATAACAATCTTTGTGAGATACAGCATGCAGCGTAGCCTGTATAGGGAATAGCAGAGCATACATCTGTACATGATATACAGTATATGTAGAATATAACACTGGATTGTTTGTTGAATAGCCTTAATAGGGTACAGTATTCTTAAGTGTATAGGATGGTGCTGTAGGTATATATTGTATAGCACACATAGGGTACAGGATAGTATAGATGATATCAAACGTAGCCATCCGAGTGAACGCTATAGATTAAAGTCTATGCTATTCCGTATCGCGTACAATAGTTGAGTACATAGCCTCTGGCCCATGTGGTGTGTTTGGTTCAAGGCCACGTGGTAGTATTATTCCAACGTTATTGTCGTGAACCCTCCACCACCCGACACGACTGTCCCGTTCACACAAGGCATTCTTCACAGGGCTTCTCACGACCGAGTTCAACATCAACGTGTCACGGCGACGTTTCGCGTCAAGACCTCTCTCGAGGTTCATCAGATGACGAACTCGGGTATTCAGTACCCCCAGTTTCAAGTTAACACAGCCTCTGTATTGAATTATGGTCTAGTGGAGACTATAGCACGGAGAAATACAAAAATGTATAAGCACATTCCTTACATCGAGTGTATCCTGGATAGAGGATAACCTAGAAAGCATCGCCTTGTAGGGTGAATGGTGTAGCGCATCCTTATAGGGGAAAGCGTGGGGCTTTCGTGTCGCTTGCACAGATAGTGCAGTGCTTGATGACACAAAGGCAGTACAGAGTCACAACGTCGCTATATGATGCATAGCATGAACTCCACAAAGGGAACTGTATATTAGACACGTGTAGTAGTATTATGCAAGACGCGCTTGTAAGATAATAAATGTCTACATGGTTCCGTTCGGTAAAGGCTCAATATAATATATACACTGGGGGCAGGATTAAAATGCTTCTCTATAGGGCGTAAAGGCTATAATAGTTCAGTCTGAATGACAATAGGCGTTACGTCAGCTACATATTACAGTTATTTAATGGATATAATTGACGGCCCTTTGTCGATCCCTTCTTAATGAATGCTTCCCCACGCAGTCGGGAATGGGTGGGGGGTTGTTTGACCATACTTCACCATGCTGGTCAGTGCAAGCTTGAGAGAGGGAGGTCAGATGTCTATAGCTCGTCTCTGATGTTAGCTATGGCCCGGAATCTAACTCACGTTTGCCGAGTTCCATACCGTTCCCACTACACCGTAACATCGGCATTGAGGGGTTTTTTTAAAACATAGTTTTATCATCCCGATCATAACTTGAGATGCAAACGCAACGCAGTGATGTGAACACAATAAAAAGAATGAGAATAAAATAATAAATTGATCAAATAAAATAACACAATTTATTATTTATTCTCATTCTACGTGACTTTACCGAAAGAACCAAACAAGATGAATCCTTGCAGTCACGAAAGCTTTAAATCGAAATTTAACAATAAAAAAGAGTATACAAAATGCAAATTAGTTTATTATTTTAGGGTGCATGAGCTGACCTGGGAAGAGAGAGCGTGACAAACCCGTTTAATTGACATTACTCAAAGCGCTTGGCGGACACCGCCTCACTGCCATCTGCGAGTCGCGAAGCAACACGGCGCTCAGAACAGACAGCTTCAATAGGCGAATAAGAGTGTGTGTGTGGGGGGGGGGAGGGGGGTTGCATGAGATGTATCCAGCGACAACAGCCCACAATTGCAAGATACCTTGGTTATCATGTACGACTGCAGAGACTAAGCCGGCGTGCTATGTGCTGACCCCCTTCGCATGCTATGGCACAGCACAGCGGACCCGCTCGCTGTGATCCTCATTAAGCGTCATCACATAACCGAATACACTGCGTGCTGCAGCGTGCACAATACTTTAATATATGAGCTCTCCAATAAATATATATTTAACAACAACAAAATATGTACTGTTGCGTAGTACAGTCCTGCATTTGGTAGTGTTTCGCATGCAGTTTATCATTCTCAATCTACCGTTGGATGAAGCCTCTCCCCCTACCACACGGATCGGTTACGGGGTTGATAGCACTGTGTAACAAACAAAAAAATGTGTTCCTGGGTAGTAAATGTCATTTTCTAATTGTTTATGCCTCAAAAGTACAGAAAATGGCTATTGTTCACCACAAACTTTGCTTTTGTGACCAGGACAGTGATATTTTGAAATATCTATTTTCAATGAGAACACGTGGTGTGCATTTGTGTCTTTCCTTCACGTAAAGTCCCGGTCACAAAAGTAGTTTGCGGGGAATAATATAAATTTCCTCTACTTTTTAGGCATAAGCAATCAAAAACACACTTGGTACCCAGGAACAAAAATTGTGTTACATAGTGGTATAAAGCGAGAGAGTGTAGAGGGGGGGGGGTTCAGACATCACGAGCCACTCGGGATGGATATCTCGGGGTAAATATCTCGGGATGGATATCTCGTGGTAAATATTAGATGGTAAATATCTCGGGATGGATATCTCGTGGTAAATATCTCGGGATGGATATATCGTGGTAAATATCTCGGGATGGATATCTCGGGGTAAATATCTCGGGATGGATATATCATGGAAAATATCTCGTGGTAAATATCTCGGGATGGATATCTCGTGGTAAATATCTCGGGATGGATATCTCGTGGTGGATATCTCGTGGTAAATATCTCAGGATGGATATCTCGTGGTGGATATCTCGGGATGGATATCTCGTGGTAACGGGATGGATATCTCGTGGTGGATATCTCGTGGTAAATATCTCGGGATGGATATCTCGTGGTGGATATCTCGGGATGGATATCTCGTGGTGGACATCTCGGGATGGATATCTCTTGGTGGATATCTCGGGATGGATATCTCGTGGTAAATATCTCGGGATGGATATCTCGTGGTAAATATCTCGGGATGGATATCTCGTGGTGGATATCTCGGGATGGATATCTCGTGGTGGACATCTCGGCATGAATATCTCGTGGTAAATATCTCGGGATGGATATCTCGTGGTGGATATCTCGTGGTAAATATCTCGGGCTTGAGCCGGAGGTGACAATCGACAATGCGTAGAAACACAGCAGAGGTTCTGGACAGCAGAGGGCAGTGCAGAAAAACCCATTGTTGTGCACTGCCCCCGCGCACATTCAGCCCAGCGTGGTGAAGTATGGTCAAACATCCCCCCCCCCCCCCCACTGCCACGCATGGCGGTGCGGGGAGGCCCTCATCCAGCAGTAGATTGACCAAGGCGGAGCTTGCACGTACGGCACCGTCTCGCTATGCAGTGCCTAATGTCATTGTAGAATCTGCTGTAGATGCAGCTGCAGAATGTGTTGCAGACCTCGGTGGCAGCACAAAAGACAAAGACCCCCCCACCCCCGTGTAGCCATCAGACTTGTTAGGGCAAGTGCAGTTAGCTAGTAGTATCGCACCTATGAAAGCCGGCACGGCACACGAGGGGGGGGGGTGGATGGCCAGGCAACAACGCTTATATATACACACACACAGTGCTATCACATTGTAACAGCATTGTGCAATAGTATCAGTTGTGGTTGTATAGTTTAAAGTTTAAACTACAAATCAAAGTTATGACAATATCAACGCGTAGATTTAGCCCATGGGCAAAGTTGTATATGGGCACCGATGGTATATAGGATCTCCCCCTTGGTATACCACAGGATATGGGTATACGCTGTTTTAAATACACACGGTCGCTCACATACACCACGTTATATCTTCACGCATACAATCATACACAATACAGCATTATGTAACAAGGCCATATGGCCTTAGATTTATACTATTATCTGTAAGGCGGTGCGTGGTTACACAACCACGCTTTAGGATTTCGACTGTGGATCGGAGGGCTCGATTGTCTGAGGTTCGCAACTTATACATAGCACCTTACAATAACACCGGTAGTATGACATGGTGAATAGTGTGTGCCATATATAGTTCCTGTGCTGTAGTCGCAGAGTCTGCGACTATTCACTGTGGGTAAGGGGGTGTATTAACATCCCTATGTAGAGAGGGCGTTCGTAAACCTGGCGCATACAAAGGCTATATACACACACACACTTTATAAATTACCGTACAGGGCGATGTATAATGATATATACACGACTCCAAATGTAAAGTGTGGTTTGTGAGGCTTGTATACTGTAGTGCAGTCTGTGTGTGGGTTAGCACGGTTGTGCATCGTTACTGTGCTGTGTTGTACACAGTCGGAGCGTGAAGCAAGGCTGTCCTGCTGTGATGATGTGTCCACACGTGTCTGTGTAGTAGTGTCCACACGTGTCTGTGTAGTAGTGTCCACACGTGAGTGTGTAGTAGTGTCCCCACGTGTCTGTGTAGTAGTGTCCACACGTGTCTGTGTAGTAGTGTCCCCACGTGTCTGTGTAGTAGTGTCCACACGTGTCTGTGTAGTAGTGTCCCCACGTGTCTGTGTAGTAGTGTCCACACGTGTCTGTGTAGTAGTGTCCACACGTGTCTGTGTAGTAGTGTCCACACGTGAGTGTGTAGTAGTGTCCCCACGTGTCTGTGTAGTAGTGTCCACACGTGTCTGTGTAGTAGTGTCCACACGTGTCTGTGTAGTAGTGTCCACACGTGTCTGTGTAGTAGTGTCCACACGTGAGTGTGTAGTAGTGTCCACACGTGTCTGTGTAGTAGTGTCCACACGTGTGTAGTACTGTCCACACGTGTCTGTGTAATAGTGTCCACACGTATCTGTGTAGTTGTGTCCACACGTGTCTGTGTAGTTGTGTCCCCACGTGTCTGTGTAGTAGTGTCCACACGTGTCTGTGTAGTAGTGTCCACACGTGTCTGTGTAGTAGTGTCCACACGTGTCTGTGTAGTAGTGTCCACACGTGTCTGTGTAGTAGTGTCCACACGTGTCTGTGTAGTAGTGTCCACACGTGTCTGTGCAGTAGTGTCCACACGTGTCTGTGCAGTAGTGTCCACACGTGTCTGTGTAGTAGTGTCCACACGTGTCTGTGCAGTAGTGTCCACACGTGTCTGTGTAGTAGTGTCCACACGTGTCTGTGTAGTAGTGTCCACACGTGAGTGTGCGACGATGTCTCTCGTCTGTGCTCACTCGCGCGTCTCTGTTCAGTAGTATAAGACCCCTGTCCCGTGTGGGTGACTCTGCACGACCCCGTGTGGGTGACTCTGCACGACCACTGTCCCGTGTGGGTGACTCTGCACGACCCCTGTCCCGTGTGGCTGACTCTGTACGACCTCTCCCGTGTGGGTGACTCTGCACGACCCCTGTCCCGTGTGGCTGACTCTGTACGACCTCTCCCGTGTGGGTGACTCTGCACGACCCCTGTCCCGTGTGGGTGACTCTGTACGACCTCTCCCGTGTGGGTGACTCTGCACGACCCCCGTGTGGCTGACTCTGTACTACCCCTGTCCCGTGTGGGTGACTCTGCACGACCCCCGTGTGGCTGACTCTGTACGACCCCTGTCCCGTGTGGGTGACTCTGCACGACCCCTGTCCCGTGTGGGTGACTCTGTACGACCCCGTGTCGGTGACTCTGTACGACCCCTATCCCGTGTGAGTGACTCTGTACGACCCCGTGTGGGTGACTCTGTACGACCCCTGTCCCGTGTGAGTGACTCTGTACGACCCCGTGTGGGTGACTCTGCACGACCCCCGTGTGGGTGACTCTGCACGACCCCGTGTGGGTGACTCACGTCTCTCTGTGCAGCAGCGTGAGTCTGTCCCGGGACACCTTGAGGCGGCGGGACAGCTGCAGCTTGAGTCCATCCACCGTCTCGTCGGCCGAGACGGTCACCTCGAACTCGGAGCCCGTGGTGGAACGAATGCACACGGCGATGGGCGACGACACCTCGCCAAGGTCATAGCTGCTGCTGCTGTTGCTGCTGCCCGGTTCCATCTGTGCTGCTGATGATGATGCTGCTCGGGAGTTTGAGCTTTTTTAGTCTTCGTCACTGTCGCCGGTTTTCCTCGCTGTTTCACTCTTCTCGCTCGCTAGACCTCACTATATTAGCCCCCCACCCCACCCCACTTCGTCTTCTTCTCCTCCTCCTCCTCCCTATCTCTGGGGCTCACAGTCGCCTACTCGATCTCCGTTCTCCGCGCCACTGTTACGAAGCGCGGCGGCGGTGGTGGTGGAGGAGGAGGAGGAGGGGTGGGGACCGCGTCTGGCTGGCCCCGCGGCTCGGTGAGGGTTCAATGGAGCTGCCGAGCACGGCGAGGTGGTGGAGGCGGAGGTGGGGACGCGAGAGATGGAGCCACGGGGAAGGAGGAGGAAGGGCTTGGGTGGGGAGGTTGTGCTTAGGGCGGGGGAGGAGGAGGGGGGGTGCCTGCTGCTGCTGCTGCTTTAGGGGTAGGGTTAGGCTGGGATGAGTGGGTGGGACGTGCTGATGATGATGTTGGTGATGTTGGTTGCAGCAGCAGCAGCGCTTGATGATGGCGTTATAAAACGAAGGCAAGCCGCGTGCTCGCTCTCTCTTCTCGGTCACTCCGGCATTTGAGATAAAAGTTACGCGGGGATGGCTTTCTTGGCTCTCTGTTCGCCGGTGGGCCAAGTGTCTGTGGGCCAAGCGTCTGTGGGCCAAGTGTCTGTGGGGTCCGTGCCGCTGTGTGGGGACTAGCGGCGCGCAGTGTGTGTGTGTGAGAGAGAGCGAAAGATGATTGGTTTCGGGACGGAGAAGCGTCTTTGTTTCAACTTTATGGCAAACTGTATTGAGCAGCAGCATCAGCAGCATACGGTGGCTTTTTTAGAAGAGCAACAGCTCGTTAATTAAACCCCGAGTACAAAGCGAATCACTCGAACACATTCTATCGTGCCGCTTACTACATACAGAGCTGTGTTAAATCAGACACGCGCCGGTTTGTATGTCTCTCTGCACGTGTATGTCTGTCTCCCCGTCCCTGTGTCTCTGTGTCTCCCTGTCTCTGTGTCTCCCTGTCTCTGTGTCTCCCCGTCCCTGTCTGTCTTCCTGTCCCTGTCTGTCTTCCTGTCCCTGTGTGTCTCTCCGTCCCTGTGTGTCTCCCCGTCTCTATGTGTCTCCCCGTCCCTGTGTGTCTCCGCGTGTGTCTCCGCGTCCCTGTGTGTCTCCGTCCGTGTGTCTCCGCGTCCCTGTGTGTCTCCGCGTCCCTGTGTCTCCGCGTCCCTGTGTGTCTCCGCGTCCCTGTGTCTCCGCGTCCCTGTGTGTCTCCGCGTCCCTGTGTGTCTCCGCGTCCCTGTGTGTCTCCGCGTCCCTGTGTGTCTCCGCGTCCCTGTGTGTCTCCGCGTCCCTGTGTGTCTCCGTCCGTGTGTCTCCGCGTCCCTGTGTGTCTCCGCGTCCCTGTGTCTCCGCGTCCCTGTGTGTCTCCGCGTCCCTGTGTGTCTCCGCGTCCCTGTGTGTCTCCGCGTCCCTGTGTGTCTCCGTCCGTGTGTCTCCGCGTCCCTGTGTGTCTCCGCGTGTCTGCACAGCCCGGACTGAGTTGCTCGCAGCCTCTCGCGCGAAGTCTCAAACAATGGAGCCCCCCCCCTACACCCCCCTAACCCCCCCCCCAACCCCCCCTCCACCCCCCCTCCACCCCCCCCACACCCCCCCCACACCCCCTAATCCCCCCTCCACCCCCCCTAAACCCCCCTACACCCCCTAACCCCCCCCCTACACCCCCGAACCCCCCCCCCCGAGAATGAACACGACGCGGTGACGTTGTCACCCGACTTAAATAATTAACGTAAACGCGGTGACGTCACGCGGGATAAACCTTCGAAAGCCGGCGCGCGCCAACTCAGCAAGTTTATCGGCGCGTGCGCGATGACGTCACCACGCACACGGCCGAGAGACGTCACCACGCACGCACCGACATCGGCCGGTTCGTGACAAAGTGACGTCGTCACGCACGCACCGACAGACTGGCCGGTTCTTGACATCGAAGTGACGTCACCACGCACCGACAGAACGGCCGGTTCGTGACAAGGTGACGTCACCATGCACGCACCGAGAGACCGGCCGTTCCAGAGGCTGCACGTGATCAACGTCCCGTGTCGAGACAACGCGACTCGTCACGTCTGAATTACCATGGGCGCGAATAACGTCACGTGTATGTGATGACGACACTTTGCGGTAGGGGTTTAGTGACGTTTCGAGGTGACGCGATGACGTCACGCATGCTATCAACGATACCGCGCCCTGGTTTCAATCCACTGCTCGATAACCCCCCCCCTCAATCCCATGGGGGTTACTTGACCATAAATTTCGATTTAAAGTTTTCGTGACTGCAAAGATTCATCTTCTTTGGTTCTTTCGGTAAAGTCACGTAGAATGAGAATAAAATAATAAATTGATAAAATAAAATAATAAAATTCTCACGACGTTTCGGCCACAACACAAGCGGCCTTCATCAGGTGAAGGGACGAGACTGTCTGGAGGACAGCGCTGGAGCGAAAAAGCCACGCTCAGATCGCGACCTTTAAGCTGTGTGAGAAGAAACAAAGCGCCTTGACAAAGGAATTGGCATATAATTTAGCATTGAAATGGCTGAGTGATTAGCTTGTGACTGGTCACAGAAATGGCTAAGTTAAAGCATACACATCCGCAGAGGCCATACTTCACCACGCTAGTCAGTGGGAGTTGGTGATGGCATAGACGTACAATACAACAATGGATGTTACTGCGCATTGTGTCCAAAGCTTCCCATAAAACAGTAGAATCTGTAGCTCGTAACACCTGTTAGGGGCCGTCCATAAATGACGTCACGCACCTAGGGCGGGGGGGGGGTCAGACATTTGTAACGATGTGTGACGAGGGGGGGGGGTGAGAAATGTGACGTCACATCAAAATGCGCAACTTTAAATAAATATAGACAACACGTTCTACTTAATTAAATAGACTTTAATAAATGTTTTCTCCTACAACATCCGAGTGCAGCGCCACATTAAATGCGCACTGCAATGACAATAGTTTAAAGTGATTTGAAGCATGTTTTATTTTCAAAATGGAAATGTTTTTTGGGGGGGGCAGAGCTTTGCGACGTCATTTCAGGGGGGGGGTCTGACTTTTTGTGACGAGGGGGGGGGTCAAAAATCGTCCAAGATCGCGTGACGTCATTTATCGCCCATCCACGCGCTCGCCACACTCGACTCCGCTTAGCTTCCAATGTATGTTTATATTACGGTTGCCGAGAAAATGTTCAAAACAACAAAAGGCCAGCAAATTCACAAAGTTTAATAATATGTGTAAAGAGTTGACGGACTTTCTTGAATAGAGCAAGATTATTATTACCGTTTGATTAGTGAGTGTGGTGAATGGTTGGGTGGTTGTTGCGTCCTGCAGAGTGGTGGTTGAGTGAGTTGGTGAGTGGTTGAGTGAGTTGGTGAGTGGTTGTTGTGTCCTGCAGAGTGTGGTGGTTGAGTGAGTTGGTGAGTGGTTGAGTGAGTGAGTTGGTGAGTGGTTGTTGTGTCCTGTATAGCGTGGTGGTTGAGTGAGTTGGTGAGTGAGTTGGTGAGTGGTTGTTGTGTCCTGCAGTGTGGTGGTTGAGTGAGTTGGTGAGTGGTTGAGACCGTGAGTGGTTGTTGTGTCCTGTATAGTGTGGTGGTTGAGTGAGTTGGTGAGTGGTTGAGACCGTGAGTGGTTGTTGTGTCCTGTATAGCGTGGTGGTTGAGTGAGTTGGTGAGTGGTTGAGTGAGTTGGTGAGTGGTTGTTGTGTCCTGCAGTGTGGTGGTTGAGTGAGTTGGTGAGTGGTTGAGACCGTGAGTGGTTGTTGTGTCCTGCAGTGTGGTGGTTGAGTTAGTTGGTGAGTGGTTGAGACCGTGAGTGGTTGTTGTGTCCTGTATAGTGTGGTGGTTGAGTGAGTTGGTGAGTGGTTGAGACCGTGAGTGGTTGTTGTGTTCTGTATAGTGTGGTGGTTGAGTGAGTTGGTGAGTGGTTGAGACCGTGAGTGGTTGTTGTGTCCTGTATAGTGTGGTGGTTGAGTTAGTTGGTGAGTGGTTGAGACCGTGAGTGGTTGTTGTGTTCTGCAGTGTCGTGAATGGGATGAAACTGTGACTGCCAAACCAGAACCCTCAACATGGGTTGAGGAATTAAGAGGATTACGGGGGAAAGGTGAACAGAGTAGTAGCGGTAGAAGAGTGATTAGAAGAGCGACTGAAAAAAAGCGGGCTGTTCTTGTACAATCTAAAGATCCAGAGAAATCTGGAGAGAAAAAAATTACCCCATTCACCCATATCGACCAGTGATGAAGTTGATGTATGTTGGCCGATGAGGCTGGATGACCGAAGAGTTCGAGAAGGTTCAAGTACATTGCACGTCACAGGGACACCTTATGTGGAAACAATAACAACAGTTTCGTCAAGGTTGCCGTGTCAATTCCATAGACTTTGCCATTACTGCTCCTGCCATACACTGTAGCTTGTAGCCAATGCCACACCATCGCCTATGATACCCGAGTTCGATTCCCAGCTCACGGCTAACATCAGTGGCGAGTCATGATATCTAAATTGCTCCTCCACCCCCCACCTCCCCCACCTTACCCTTCACCACTCCGCACTGACCAACGTAATGAAGTATGGTCAAACAATTTCCCATGTCCATCGCGGCATAGGGGAGGCCTTCATCCGGCAGTGGACAGACAATTGACTGAATATTTTTTACAACATCATTACTACGATTAAACACTGCACAGACCTTGTATCATGCTGCGAAGTGGTAGATTTGACATTAACAGCATTATTGCAAATTATGCCACCATTATCACATTTTGTTCAAGTAGCAAAAACACTGAGGGACAGCTGCCAATAATTTTGGCAAGTGCCAATTATTTTGGCAATTGTGTACGATAACACCATGTGCTGGTGTTACATGGTGTATGCAGTGTATAGTGAAGAAGCACTGCAGTTATTGGGATAATTAAATGTTAGGTTAAGAAAAAAACATTTTAAAAAATTAAGTACATTATACGATTCAAGTGATTTAAAGCAGCAGATACAATCTTGCAGCTGGGATTTTCCATGGTGATGCAAATGAAATTTGCTAATTGAACGAGAGAACACAGAGCTTTTGACCTCGTGTTAATGCAATAACCATTAAAAACTAATAAAAAAAAGTGTACATGTAAAAGTTTAACCTCTTAATCATGGTAAATTTATGAAATGGTCAAATGCAAGTGAACCATGAGTATGCGAGGAAGCACTTTAGAGTTTAGACGACACACTGATGCCCACTACAGGGAACTTTAGGTACTTTAACACTAAGAGATCCATTCGCAGACTAATTGTCTGCTGAATTTGGACATGCTCTCCAAAAACGTTGCCGATTAGTTTAGAGTGTGTATCATATGGATTTGCGTCGAACTCGGGACCCACATCTGACAGAGAGGGCCTTTGCCGATACACATCTGGCAGTTCACAGGTATAAAAGACCCGACGCAGAAGATACTCGATCTTGCATGGAGCTTGCGGGCCCATCCTTAATTGCAACCGCACAAACCATGGCAGCAGATGATGGGGATACTGGATGGTGCACAAATGAAAAAAAATAAAAACTCTCCGGCAGTGTGCGACGACTGTGCTCACCCAGAACAGAACATGGAACAAGACGACCGAATGCCCAATTCACAAATGCGAATGAGCCATCGCAGCGATTCACTCCTCTGATCCGAATGCAAATATCTGGCTCAACCACATCGGTGTAAATATTATAGTTGTTGCTCTACACCTGCATCAGCCATACGAAGAATAAGGGTCAAGTAAGCTTGACTGCTAATGAGACACTGAATATTATATTCTTAGTTCTTTCGGTAAAGTCACGTTGAAGGGAAACAACAAAATAATAAAATATATATAAAACAATAAAAAATTCTCACGACGTTTCGACCATAACACAAACGGTCGTCTTCAGGTGTGTTGGTTTGCATAAATTTATTTTTAAACGGTGCATGTATTTATTTATAAAAAACGTTAGCGCCACGCGCAGTGATT